CGCTGAAGATATCGACCTTGAAAGCGATGTAATGGACATTGTTCACCAACACAAGTGAAAGTGACAGAAATTTGCTAAGTATCCGGGGAACGTGAATGCCTCTCTTATGAAGGAGTTTTATGCCAACTTAACCGACCCAAATTAATATATCGTGGTTGATATTGTTGATAACCACCCCACATTCGCGAAAGAGACAGATAATGAGAGTTGCCATGGCATAATAGAAGACCTTTGTTTTTCAAACACAAAGTGGAAAAGGTAACAAGTCAGCCAACAAATGGTGGATCATGAGAGGATACAACCGAGGGCTAAGTTGTGGAATCATTTTATGAAGCACAATCTTCTCCCCACTGCCCACAACACCACGGTCTCACTATATAGGATGCTTCTACTGCACTCTATTTTGGTGGGGCACTCCATTGACATGGTAAGATAATCGTGGAACAAGTTCATACTTGTTTGAAGCAACCCGCCAGTGCCTTGGTATTTCTAAATCTCATTACGACACTCTGCCATAAGAAGAATGTGCCATAGGAGCAGTTTGATGAAATATTGCCTGGGTTGTCTAGTATTACAAAGGCTAAGCTACCTATGTTGATTGGATTCAAGGAAAATAAGGGTAAGGAAAAAGAGGATAACACTTCCCGCGCTGATACAAACCAAGATTCCATGACAAAATTAAATGCTCTAGAGAAGGTCGCTAAGTGAACCCACGATCACGTGGAACAACTTATCATCAATCTGATAACTTTCTTTACCTATGTAAAGCGTCATGATGAGTTTATGGTGAATGCTTTCACGGAGATCCTCCCGTACGTTAATCTTGATATCCTAGTCTTCCCTAAGATACTCTTGAATCCATCTGTGGATGTCGCGGCATCAGAAGATGCTCCCCAGCCTGTTGATGATGAGGAGCCAACATATCCTGATCATTTCCACTCAGCGCCAACAACCGAATGCCAAGAGAGTGAGCTCTACCTCTCAACCTTACCAGCACCCCCGCAACCCACAGAGCCACTTGAGGACGTACAATAAAAAATGCCACAGTAAATCCCTCTGCGAAGGAGTCGACGCCATAAGAAGAAGGTGCCTCAATGTGAGTAGCCTAAATTTCCCCCGATCGCTGAAGGCCTTAGGACCCCCTACTACACCACCATCAAATTCTGAACACTCCAGTCACACACCATTGCACAAGTGCCTGCGTCGCACGGCTGCCACACTACCACCAGCATAAGAAGTCAAGGTACCTTACATTGTATAGCATGTAGTCTAGTTTTAACTTAATTTTTATTTAGCATTGAGGATAATGCTTCTCTCAAGTTTAGGGGAGGTAGGGTTCTTATCAAATTAGTTCTCTGGAATAAATTAATGATGCCAGATGATGATGAACTCTTTATGGCTAGAATTGAATGTACGTGACTGTTGAGGATGATAGAACCAACTCTAGGACTTGTTTCTTTAAAACTTTTTGATACACGATTGTATGTTTTCCATAATTAAGGAACTTAGAAATATTTTATAAAAGAACTCTTGCATGCCTTGGCATAAAACTTTGACAATGACTTTGAATGATGAAAACCCCATATGTTTTAAAAATGAAAAAAATAAAAAAAATTACGAATAAATGCTTAGGCATAACTGTAGAGGGACACTCCGTTATGCCATGGCATTGCCTGGATACTGCATTTAAATAAATGGAATCCACGACATATGAGTGAATGAAAGTAGTCACGGGATGACTCTACCTGACTAGCTCGGGGGTCGAAGGTATGCTCCCTTTCACCTAGAATGTGGGATAGTAGGTGTGATGAACTGACTCCCCTCGTAGCAGTGTAAAAAAATGTGGGAGTAAAATTGTAAATGTCGTGGAAAAACAAGAGAGCTTGCTTAGAAATTTTGTAGATTTATTAAGCATGTACTTGATACAATCACACACATACACAAAAAAAAAGATCTTGCCCTAGGGGACAGTACTTGATTTCTCAAACTAGTCTAGCATGTTGAAACCAACTGTTCTGAGGGCATGGTATTTTTATTTTGCTTAATATTTATTCATTGCTTGAGGACAAGCAATAGCTTAAGTTTGGGGCATATTGATAACTCCGTAAAAAGGCCATATTTAAGGCCTTTTTACTTAAGTTATTGACTGTCTAAGAGCTCATATAGGATCATATAGATGCATTTAGGAGCATATAGTTGCATGTGGTGGAAATATATGTTGTCGTGGCATTTTATTTTACAAACGGTAATGTGTTATGGGGAAGGTGTTTTGTCTGATGATGTGTATGATCTGGGAGCAATGATAAGCGAGTATAATTATCGAGACAAGATAAGAATGGTGAGCAGAATGCAAATGCCAATTCAGACAGCATTTCGAAAGTGAAAAAAGATGAAAAAATATATTTTAAAGAGCCACATGTCCCTATCTTCACATTCCTTCAACTGCCAGACACCTAGGAGGGAACATCTTCTACCAGGCTTGGCTGATCCTGTCAGCACGTACGCCTTGCTGAAAGCTACCTCGGAGGGGACCACTCTTGCATCTGCCTCACCCCTCATGTGAAAGAAACCAGCTCGGGGTTTCCTAGGAATTTTAACAAAAATTCCTATGTTTATTCCCTCTATCAATAGGAGATGAAGTCACCAGATTCGAAAAAGAGAGACTTTTACACACCGTTTTGAGCTTAATTTCAAAAGGAAAAAGGTCTCTCCTTTTTCAGTCAATCATTTTTTCTGTAGCATTCCTCCGTTAACAAGCTTGAGGGAGTGACGAGCTAGGCATTCGAGAGGAGCTAGTGAGCTAGGGTAATTCGTGGTGATCGAGGGGAGCACCGGTAGTGCACGTCGAAGGCTTTTCCTCCATCCCTTTGCTATTTTCTTTCATTTATCTTAGTTGGGTTGTATAGAACGAATTAATTTCATGCCTTTTCCTGGGAGTATTTGAACCCCACCATGAACTATTCTTATTTACGGGAGTTCCTTATGGATGCTTAGTTTATTTTAATGGATGGTTGTTTTTGTATGTTGTTATTTGTTTTGCTTATGATGTTTAATGTCATAAGGTTGTAGGAGCTATGAGTGTATCCACTCCTTAGGAGAATGCTTAGTGTTCGAGAGAATAACTAAGTAGCATATCTTTAGTGTTCGAGAGAAACTATGGAGGATCCATATAAGCAAGGGGTTCTAGATAGTAACTAGACCTAATCCAACCTTAGACATAAGGCTATGATTTTAATCGACTAAAAGGAGTAGTGCTCGGTCCAGAGATTAAATGCTAGTGCTGACGCTGAGTGGTTTTATGTTTGTAACTATAAGCTCTCCCCGAAGAATATTTAAGCAATTTTGGCAATTAGCTCACAAGTATTTTATAATAAAAAAATATGATAATTTAGTACACTATAACTCATTGATGTTGGTATTTTTTGTCAATAATGTTTGTTTTGATTTCTTTTTAATATCCTCTCTGTGATTACTAGCCGTCAATAATCACTGAGATGCAATAGAGTCATTACCTACCAAGAAATAAAGTATTAATCCTTTGGCTAATATAATTATAGGGATGATTATCTTGTGAGACGAGATTGATCCTTCTAACTTAAAATCTTAGAAAACATAATTTTTAAATGCAAAAACGATCTTAAATGATTTAGAAACAAGTTGGCTAAGACAAAAATCATTTAAAACAAAACTTTCGACATTCTTTCTAAAACTATTTTTAAGGTTTAATTTAGTCTAAAATAATTTTATAAATATTTGTTATATCAAAATATTATTATTCAAACTTCAACAATAGTTTTTTTTTTATATAACTAAACTCTTTAATTGGGCCTCCCTCTTTCTCTTTTGACAAAAATGATTTTCGCTTCTCTTTTTGTTATATAAAAAATAATTCTAGAATGTTAGTGCAATATAATAATGGAGAAATAAATAAATTAAAAATAAGGTTAGATTTAGAGAAAATAACATTGAATTTTTTTTATTTTTTTAAAAGTACCAACAGCAATGAACAAAAAATATTCACCCAAACAAAAGTACCCAAAATGTTGCATCAACACAAAATATATATATATATTAAAATATGAAAATGCATGGATATATGATGATGATAATGGTGGAGGAAATGCAAAGCTAAGACGATTGAGTTGGCGCTGAATAACTCGAATCTCATCACCTAAGGAAGCAAAGCTAAGACGATCGAGTTGGAGCTGAATAACTCGAATCTCATCACCTAAGGAAGCTATTTGAGCCTTAAGAATAACCAATCGAATCAACATGAGAATGAAAAGATCTGAAAGCTTGCATAATGGAATCATGAAGCTTTCAAATGGTCATTTCCCTTGGAACTACATCTTGGAAATCCTCATGATTATCACCTTGAGCCTCATCCATAGGCTCGTCTACGTTTTAATCCGGCTTAGGAAATTCTCATCTATACTTAACCCAATGATTGGAGAATTCGGATTGTTCACTTCTCCATAGAAGCTCACCCAACAATCATCTAGATTGAGGGCTCAATATCAGGCTAGTAACATGTATCAATATCAAGAAGAACAAATATTTGACTAAGGTACATACCATGTACCAAATTCAGACAAGATTTGGCCTTAAAGATGCTTACCAAATTATTTTAGATGGAGTTGGCCAAGTGAAGCTTGTGACCCATCTTGATGCAATTCATCTACTGATACCAATACCAATATAAAATACCAATACCAATTTAAGGTTTGATGTTTCAAAAAAAATCAATTTAAATATATAGTATCGATACTTAGGATTTGATATCAATACCTAATGAATAGATATCGACACCAAATTTAGTTTCAATGTTCTAGAAATTCAAATTTAAATCAACAATATCAACACCTTTGTTTAGGTATCAAAACCTAAACCTAGAATCACAAAAAATATGCAAAATTTTCAACTTGGTCATACTCTAAACTTATTCAAAACATACCCAAACTAAGTTTCACCGAAATGTACAAGGTCCATATGCTTTGTGACTCAACACACGACGCTCCATTTTCTGCTATACTGATTCCTTTAACCAATGCCCTTCCGTGCTGACTCTCTCCATGATCTCTTTCTGCTCCTCCAATAGAACATAAAATCAAAACACAAACAAAATAAAATGAACAATGACTCTCCTGATGCAAAAGGGCAATCCAAAGTTCAATTTTCTTGATGTTTTCTAATATCCCATCAATTTTATTCTGGTTATATGCAATAGTTTCACACAAGAACATTTATAGGAGTTGTAGAGTTGAAATAACTAGTGCTCATTGAATTTTACCTGGATGACTTTTGTCATAATTCCGGGACCCTGCTTGTTCAACAAAAAAAAACAGTTGTGAGAAAACAACTATGTCGCTGACTTTTCTTTATTACAAGTACACATGACTAACACCTATGTTAGACACATTTCAGAACATGAGTGCGGGATACGAGGCCTTCCATTTACAGAGAAAAATTAAAAATACCAATGTCAGACACATCCATATCTTACACTCAACCCGAGTCTGAATATCATAGGAAAACAACATGGTTCAAAATTGGAGGCCCTTAATGCCGCTGCAAGAAAGATCATGTACCTGAAATTTTTTCTCAACCCATGATATTCCTTCCAAACATTTTGATTCGAGAGATTCCCATGGACGAGGAACTTTAATAGTCTCCACGTGCTGCAGAACTCGCAAGCTATCTGCGAAACAAATTATTGTTTCAACTTAATTTTATTTTTAAAATTTTCATTTTTCTTAAAATATCCATGTTTAAGACACGACACATTTAATGGTATTGTTATAATCTAAGAAAACAAATCGAAGGAGAAAGAATAAAAGAGATAATACTAGAAAAACCTGATTATTGAATTAGGAGATTACGATAGTTTAAATAAACTGAGTTGCTGACTTCTAATAGGACTTTTCTGTTAAAGTTAAAATTCTATCTAAAGACAGTTATCCTTTCGTATCATAAGACTTCTAAACAAATGAGACTACCACACGGTTAATTCTGACAATACCACCATTTAAAATTTATTTGTTTGCTTCAAAGTTAAATGTGTGAACTGAACACGTGCATACGCGCATAGCACTCTGAAAAAAGGATGTTAAATTGGAATAAAAATAATTTACTTGTAATGAATGCTTCTTCCCAAAGTTGATGTCTTTCCCATGATGGTGCAACTTCACGAACTGGGATGCCTTTGCTATGGCATACTCTACATGCATAGGAAAGTTCACAATTTAGCATGGTATACCATGGTTTGAAATACTCGTATACAACATCCGTGTCAGACATGTGCAGACACGAGAGTGTAGATACAACTTTTAAGGATCTTCCAAATGCATGAAAAAGTTTAAAAGAAAACTAACAAACTCATGTTAGAAAGTTGTAGCTAAGGTGGATTAGGCAGAGTTAATTTTGTTATTTAGGGTTGTTTTCGATTGTTTTTGGTGTTCTGTTTATGTTGGGGGGTGGATTTCTGGTTGTATCTTGTAATTTCTTATGTTCAATAAAATCCTAAGGCACTCTTTTCCTCCTTCCGATGATTAAGGAGTTTTTTAAAACTCCTTTAATCAAGAAGGGGTTTTTTAACGAGGCCTTCAATTCCTATAAAACAAAACTCATGTTAGAAATATGGCAGTATCCAACACTTATACCATCTGATACTTATACAATCTGCCTCAAGAATGATGCACCTGCAATCAAATCATGCAATGAAAGACTATAAAATCTTTCCCATGATTCCAAGATACTATGGTTCTTCATTTCTCTTGAAGTACCCTATTTGATAGTTGTGTCTGATGCATATTCAAATATAGGCACGGGATATGAGCTATAAATATTTTATTAACTAGTGATTATTGTATTTAATATTATTTAATACCAAAATCACCTATTTAACATTTAATTCATATTTTAATAGAATAATCTGATTCAACCGGTGACTTTGGAGTCATGTTGGTTTGACCCCCAATCCAGTATTTGTTCATTAGCCAACATAAACCAGACTCAATAACTTCTCATCTCTGTCCTTTTGGCAAAGAATGGGATGGATTGCCAAGTTTGAAGTCTATTGACACTTAAAAAATAGAAATCGTATAATGCCGGGAAGAACACCATCTGAAATAGGAGCCATCTGTACTACAACAGAATATGCATTACCGTAGTCATTCAGGTATTTCCCCTCAGCTTCGCTCTTATCCTAAAAGCAAATGCCATAGAAGAATACAAATTCTAGGATTAAGAGAAAACAAAAGAAGCACACAAACAGCCAAAGCTACATTAACACAACACAGCATGAAAATGGCTATAAAACAGCCATAAATCATGAAAATCAATATTTTCCTACAATTTAGCCAGACTGACAATCTTAGATTCTCAAGACCTAAGTTACTTAAACTCAAGTAAAAGTGTTGTATACAAATATGTATGTGACATGGTGTTTTTTTCTAAGTTTTTTTATGTATTTGAAGAATTCAAATCATATCTTCACATTCATATCTGAATATCCATTGCACACAGATCTCAAACATAAATACTTTTAAGAAAAATGAAAATTGTAAAAAACAAGGTTCCAACTTTCAAGCTATGCTACTAAGACTCGAATGAATGTCGGAAAATGGGTATATGCAATTTTTTTAATATTTTCCATGTATTCAAAGGGCCATGTCCCTGATGCTTATTATTTGGATATGCCTCAAACCCGAGTGTCAATCTGAACACTTCAAGATAAAAAGAGTCAGAATATCATTTATGTATCAAGACTAGCCATTCCAAGTGTAGATTCTGAGTTCTTAAGTACTTACCCTTTGGCAAATGACAAAGAAGTTTGTAATGCATCCCTCAAGAATTCGATCACCATCATTTGACAACAAGAGTTCAGTCACTGAATGTGTCCTCAATATCTCCAATGGCTTCCGTAACCTACACAGAGTGCCAAGTTTTCAAATTAAAACATCCTATATATATAAAAGAAATACCAAACAAATCCAATACGGATTAAATAAGTCAAAATCTAAGTTTTTCTTCCACCTCCATTTTAATATGAATTATTCACGTTAGAAAACTTATAATAACATATAATATTTTAGAAGCAATTACTATACTATTTATTAATACAGCACAAATACAAGAACTGCCAGCAATTCTAACCTTACCCAATCCGAATACTTTACATTTGAAATATCCCTTCCACGACCAACCAAAGCCAAATGTGCCCCATTTTCTTCAATCCCAAACACAGGAGGAACATAGCTTCCAATATGCAAATGAACATCAAGAAACTGAAAAACTCCATCATCATTACCAACATTTTTCATTGCCTTCAGCTTCTCCAAATCCCCAGAAACAAGGGCAGTAACCACTAACTCCTCCCCAGTAGCTCTCTCTTCCAGAGCAATGGGTAAAACTTGGTTCAGTGAATTACTAACCAATGACTGAATCCCTTTCTCCCATTTCAACGATGAAGAGATTGATAAAGGAGGAAAAAGCAATGGATTTTTCTTGTTTGCCTTGAATATGAGTTCTGGGTTTGAATTTAGTAGAATTCTCGCAGAAGTTGACAGTCTTTTTAAATGCCTTTCCCAAAACAAAAGGGTGGTTCCATTTTCGTGTGTTCTAGTTGTTGTGTAAGCTCCTGAGAGTTTTTAAAAATGGAATTAATTTCAATAAGTTCCTTCTTCAATAAGATTTTGATTAAAAATTTTGGGGGGAAAAGGAATAATTTAGATTATGGTACCTGGAAGTGACTCGAGAAAAGTGGCGACGGGAGGCACCTCGGAAGTGTATGAAACGATGCCATTGCTGCAGAGAAATCTCGTGCTGTTCATCTTTTGCTGGAACTGTGAAGTTTATGACATAAAAAAAATTCTAAATATATTATGATAGAAAATAAGGCGGTTTTTCCGAAGAATTATTTTTTTAATTTAATATTTTTGATCAGGTTCCTCATTTAACTTCCTTTACAGTAAGGCGCGTCCTCTGTCGCGTTATACGTTGATTTGGCGTCACGTGGGGTAAGGCGTGTCCCCTGCGACGCGCCTTATATTGACATGGATACACGTGTGTATGGCGCGGGACAGGTTGGTAATTAAAAGTATAGCGCGGGGCAGGGGTCGCGTCTTACCTGTGATTCTGACATGTGTTGTATACTATTAGTTCTCATCTGTTGTTTTTTCTCTTCCTCTTCGATACGGGAACCATCCAATTGCATCCGTTTTCGCGTCGGACACAGTAGCATACATATTTTTCGGTCATGGAGCGGTCGACTCTGGACTAAACAGAATTACGGATATTGTAATTTTTTATAGCTATAATCGCTTCTTCCTTGCTTGAAAACTCCATACCTAAAGATAACTCACCATTATTTATTGATTAGTAATATCCATAGTCACCGAGATGAGGTATATCCGTAAATTCTGGCCCGTACATTGCATCATAATCAGCTTCATACATGTGTGTTGGATGGTCAATTTGTGCCACAATTGCTGGAACTTCATCTACATCATCATCACCATCGGAGTTGAATTGCGGTGATTTTGGGTGAATGAATAGTTCAGTCTCAGCACCAGGCTCACGAAGCGGTTCTTTCTGGTAGAGATGATGGTTCCTCCATGCTCTCCACAATTAGGTCGAAGAACCTACTACTGACACGCCTTCCCCTTGAACTAGAAGGCATATCTGGATTGAGATCGAAAAAGCTCGCAGTCGAATGTCTTCCCCTGGAGCTTGAAGTCATCGTGTCAAATGGAAACTGCGCAGATTGTTGTGTCGATGTCATCTCTATATTAAGGTCAAAGAAATTTGCAGATGAATGCATTCCCCTCGAACTGGATGCGATTTTGCCATACGGATTGTTCGTGGACCCACCTCGGTACATATCGTAAGGAGTTGCGGATGAATGTCTTCCCATTGAAGTTGATGTGTCGGCACCATGATGTAGATTTCCTATTATGACATTAAAATCATTACATATTACTGTAGTCGGACTGTCAACTTGTTCAGCCAGCCCATAGTGTGAGTTTAATGGTTGACCCCGAACAGCACGCACTTGAACAAACTTTGCATACATCTCAATATCGCCGTCTGAATAATTACTTTGAGAATCAGCCATCATTTCAACATCATCATTGTTCGATAGTTCTAACGCTGTATAAATTAATGGAAACAATGATGTTGGAAATCTATACTGCAACGACGACATTCTTCTACTACTTTCAACATGAATCTTTCTCAAAATCTTCGTTATCAGCTCCTCAAGAGTTATGTTTCTCTTGAATAATATTTTAACACGCTCATTTGATACGAAAATAACGCCGGTTTCATCTTCTTGAATTTCTCCATCATAATAAACAATAGCTGAAAGTCGCGTCATTCTTAGAGTTTAAAAGTGCAACAATATTATATCTGCAAAAAAACAACTGAAACAAACTTGATTAAATAAATAATATATGACCAAAAATATAACAGAATAAATTTTTTACACATAAACGTAAATATTTTAAATAATATACTTTTATATTATTACCTGCACCGCAAAAATATTTCGACGTATGCTCCCACTTTCTAATTCTACAAACACAGAAATTAATTGAAAACAATTAGTATAATATTTTTTCAAATAATCATATATAACTATAAAATAAATATTATAACAAAATTACCTTATAACGAAAGATCGAGCAAACTTCTAAATCAAATATAAGATGATTGTCGGATGTTATTTACTGATTCAAAAGATTGTTGGTGAGAGAGTTTACGGGAGACGGCTATTTATAGCCGAGAGAGGATGTCTTAAAGCCGAGAAGTTTGAGAAAATAATGCAAGGCGCGATCCTTGCACCGCGCCTTGCATTATGCATGTTTGATAATTGAGATAATTGAATGGCGCGGCCCCTTCCCCGCACTATATCTTGCGTGGCGTATGGCGCGGCTCCTGCCCCGCGCCATACACACATGTATCCATGTCAGCATAAGGATCGCCTCAGGGGCGCGCCTTACCCCACGTGGTGCCAAATCAGCGTATAGCGAGCTGCAGGGGCACGTCTTACTGCAAAGGGTGTTAGATCGAGAAATATAGTCTGACCGGTGCCTGATCAAAAATATTAAATTAAAAAGATGATTTTTCAGGAAAAACGCCAGAAAATAAACACATTTTTAATAATTCATCAAAATAGGATATAAATGTATTGATTATAATATAAATAAAACAAAATATAAAGAAATAGTATTGACTTATTGTTAGTTATATTCTGATAGAAAATAAACATATTTTAAATAATTTATGAAAATAATAAAAACACCTATAATAAACACATTATATTCTAATTTGATTCATTTAATAAATAAATATAAATATGTTCTTGATTGGCACAAGTCAAACAATGTGACAATGCCCTTTTCCTTTTTTTTTTGCTAGGGATGGCAGTATGACCAGAACCCGACGGGAAAATTCGAAATCCGATCAAGTTCGGGTCGGGTCGGGTTGAATGATATCGGGTTCGGGTTCGGAGATTTTTTTTGGGGATTTTTTCGGGTCGGGTTCGGGTTCGGGAAAGGTATCCCCGCCCCGATTATATATATATATAATATTTTTTATTTTTTATATTAATTATATATATAATATTTTATATTTTTATATTAATTATATAAAAAATAATTTCGGGTTTGGGTTCGGGTTTAGGTATAATATTTCGGGTCGGGTTCGGGGACGGGGAAAAAAATCTCCGACGGGGCGCCCCGATAAAAAACCTGTCAGGGTCGGGGATGGAGATTTATTTCGGGTTCGGGGACGGGGAAAGCAAAACCTGCCCTGAACCTAACCCAACCCGTTGCCATTCCTATTTTTTGCAAGTTGTGTTTAATTAAATGAATCAATATATAACGTAAATAAATAAATTTAATAATTAGCGCGTGATTACTATAAAATGATTTTCCAAAGGCATAATGTCAAAAATAGTCCCCGATATTTATTAAAATGGTCATTTCGACCCATATTCATTTTTTTAGAGTATTTTGACCCATAATGTTTCACTTTGGGTAAAATAACTTACTCTATAGATGGAAATCATTAGTTAACACACAATTAACGCTCTAAAGTATGAGCATTTTTAACCTAAAATGAAACGTTGAGGGCTAAAATGCCCTCTAAAAAAGAATATGTGACAAAGTGATTATTCTATCAGATATTAGAGGTATTTTTACCCTAAAATAAAATGTTAAGAGTTAAAATACTTCAAAAAATAAAATAGAAGATAAAATAATCATTTTAGTAAACATTGTGTACTAATTTTGACATTATGCCTTTTCCAAATAGTTATTGCTCACTTCTCATTGAAGTTACCAAAATATATACATCTATATATGTAAATATATTTAATCTGACAAGCCTGTTATTCAAGCTTTATATTCAGTGTTTCTTTCTTCAACCACCAGCAGCCAAAGGTTTTCTTCTTCCTTGGAAACAAAGTTGAGCCAGAAATGGAGAATTTGATGGGATTGTTGAGAATTCATGTGAATAGAGGGGTGAATCTTGCTGTCAAAGATGTTGTAAGCAGCGATCCTCACGTTGTTATCAAGATGGGAAAACAGGTCATTTCTGGGTTTTCTCTGCTTTTCATAGATTCTCGCCTTTGACTCCTCTAATCAGTAGTGGATCCAAAAATATTTGATTATGAATCTATCATTGTTCATGATTCCTAATCTTTTTGGAAATTGATTGTGTTGCGGAAATTAAAAACCTGCGTGGTAAAGAGAAATGTGAATCCAGAGTGGAACGACGACCTAACTCTTTCCGTTAACGACCCAACTCTTCCCGTTAAGCTCGTAGGTGTTCTTCATTAGTGATTCACAAGACTTCTTATGAGCAAAAATTTTAAATTCTCGTATATTTTAAATACTTTATTTATTTTCTAAGGATAATCTGTTTTCGTTCTAAATGAATATTTGCTGGCGGTGTATGATAGAGATACGTTCGTAGATGATAAGATGGGGGATGCGGAGTTCGAGATCATGTCATTTTTAATTGCAGTAAAGATGCGTCTACAGGATCTGAATGACGGAACTATAATCAGCAAGGTTCAGCCAAGCAGGCAGAACTGTCTGTCACAAGAGAGTTGCATCGTTTGGAGCAAGGGGAAAATTGTTCAAGACATGTTCTTGAGGCTGAGAAACGTGGAGACTGGTGAAGTTGAGCTTCGGTTGGAACGGATTGACGTTCCTGGTTCTAGAGGGATTTAATTACCTACTTGGAATTTAATTTTTATTTTCTCTGAAATGTGGGTGTTTCATGGACATTCAAACATGAATTTAGCTTAGATTAATTATTTCAGGTTCAAACATTAGGAATGTCACAGTAAGAACGTTTAATGCCAAGTGATTAAAAGTTATCTTTAAACAAATATTATCTTGTATTTATCCCAGATTAATCAAATATATATAGGGTAAACTACGCGTTTAGTACATAAACTATCAGTTTTGTTCCATTTTAATACCTAAACTTTCATTTTTTCAAAATCATATCTAACGTTTACTTTTTGTTTTATTTTAGTATATGATAAGATTTTGTTACACAATGTAAAACTCTTTTAGTTTTGCATAGATTTAGGACTGTTAGATGAGTGAAAATAAATGATTGAGATTAATAATAGGAAATGAGAATATATTCTCTAAAAAAACAATGAGTCAATCTCAACCTTCTATTTTTACTCATCCAACTGTCTTAAATATGTGTAAAACTAAAGAGATTTACATTGTGTAAGTAGATTTTGACTGAATTTATAGTCTTAGTGATTGTTTTACGTAATTTTGCTGAAATTATAGAAGTTTCTAATAACTCAATTTTTTTATAAAAGTTTCTAATTTTATTAAAAAAGAGAAGAATATTCCGAATTATAATAAAAATTTATAATCATAAACTAAACATATAATAAGGAATATATATATATATATATATATATATATATATGCTGAATTTATTATCTTAGTGATTGGTTTTCTAAATTTATGGAATATATATATATATATGCTGAATTTATTATCTTAGTGATTGGTTTTCTAAATTTATGGAAGTTTTCTAATAATTTTTTTATATAGAAGCCTCTAATTTTACTAAAAATGGAAAAATATTGAGAATTGAGATGAAGCTTTATAATTATAATCATAAACTAAATACATAATAAGGATATTTTTCTATAACCATTAACACAAGAAACTAGTTACTTAAGATCATATAAAGATCATATAAAGACCATACAAGGAAAAAGTTAAATAAAACTAACAAAAAAACTCAAACAAAAGATAGATACGAACATATCTGATTGCATTGGCAAACGAACCAAAAAATTAGATCAAATTACTGAAAAATCGTAAAATATCACAAATCAGAATAAAGTGACGTGAGAAAACTATCTACGAACACATATAGTGTATCTAAATCTGAGGGTCCAAAGCAGGAAGATTAGTAAGATAACAAATAAGCATCATCTCGATAAGTCGTGGGATGTCAAATTCATCCCTAAGAAAAAAGATAAACGAAAATAACAACCAAACGATCGAAAACATGGCAAAATACAGAGGAAAATGAGCAATAAAGACAGAGTTATGAAAAATAAATATGTAAAATAAAAAAGAAAAAAAATAAGAAATATCGACGACAACCAACATCAATATCGATATCGTCATTTATCAACCATAGATGAAAAAAAAAAAGTTAAGTTCTGTTCAGGTTTCAAAGAGTTTGATAACTTTGATTTCTAACATTCTAATAACCCTTTTAACCCATCACTATTGATCATAAAATATTTGATATGACCCAATGGGATGTTGTTACATGTAAAATTTATTTTTAAAATCAAGGGGGAATTGTACATGATTCTTTTAATGGTTTATTTACCCTTTTAATCCTTCTCTATTTGATCTCAATTCAAGCATGTTTCTTTTATAATTAATTAGGCACAATTCTCTCTCGATCAGCCACATACTTTATCTAAAAAATTTAATCATACTCTCGTATCGATTTATAGATCTTCCAAATCAATTCTCATATGATAACTCAAAAATTCGAATCATTACATCTTAAATGCTATAACTAGCCGTCATAACATTTTAACAATTAAAACATTGTTTTAGTACTGAAAATTTGTGCTAAAAATGTTAATTAAGTTAGTAATTCCCTTGCTTTAACATGGTTGTTCATACTAACCTATGTGTTGATATGCATGAATGGTGATTTTTTCGCCTTACCATTGGGAGATTCAATCTTCCAAAGGATTCAACATGATCTTTTTCCATTTCCTTGTTAATGATAAGAAATTATTTGTGTTTTCTTTTCTTAACAATTTGTGATGGTTAAAAGATAATAACCCAAATTTTTAAAGAAGAATATTAATTCTCTTTTACTATCGAACGTCAAAGTGACTAAGAGATATAATAGTATTTGTGCCGACAAACATTTTTTTTATAACAATTGGTTTTCAATTTTTGATTGAATAATTCAGATCAGGTTGTAGACACCCGTTTTTATCTAGGTTCTCGTTTTATTATTATTATTAATATTATTTATTATTATTTATATTATTATTAATTTACATATTACACTTTTTTGCAGACCCGGATTACAAATAGCCCCAGACCCAATTACAATCATTCAAGCCCACCAGAAGCCCAACAACTAAGATCCGACCCGACTTCAACAAGACCTGACCCGATTAAAATTAGGGTTTCAAAACCCTAATATATATTCCGCCACGCCACCGCAGCCAGTTTACACCTCCCACCGCCGCCACTGTTCCAACCGTTTGATCTCGTCAGCCGACAATCGCCATTCCACCGCTCGGATATCATCATCTCAGCCAACAGTGACAACCAAATCACCAAGTCAACAAACCCATTAGAAATCTCAAGAAAAATCCCGAAAAATCAGGGAAAATTAATGGAGACATAGGGGAATTATTGCCCTCATTTTTCTAGCTTCAGCTAAGGATATCAAAGATAAAAACCAAAGAAGAAAGAAGGATATTCATTCGGTTTTTGGGGAGAGAAATAGAGGAAATAGAAAAAAAACACAGAAAACAATAGAAAAAACATACCTTTGGTAAGATCCAGTCGTCATTCACTTCACCGGAGCCAAAAAGCTTTGTTATCGGAGGTAAAGCTTCGATCTTTTGCATTGTGGGGTCTCAATTTTTTTAGGGGACGAGTTGTTTAAAATCTTGGTTTTTTTGAAGGGTTGAGGGGAATAGGAAGTGTTAGGGGTGAAAGGGGCCCAAATCGGGGCTCTACACAGTGGTGGCCACAGTGGTTTGTGGCCACCGATTGGTTTTAGCAAAACAAATAAAAAAAGGAAAAGAAAATGAGAGAAAAATGAGGGGGCCGAACGACTACAGAGAAAATGGGAATGCTAGGTTACTCTCAAACCCTATAAATGTGTATTTATGTGGTGCCAAAATGATGTAGTTTTAAGGGGATTAGGGTTTCCCCTGTTAATGCGTGGGTAAACTGCATGAGGCTCTTTTTGGGTTTTATGTTTTTTTAATTTGGTCACTGAACGTGGGATTTCAGTTTATGTTTCAAGCTCCTTATTTTACTAGATTTATGTTTTAGTCACTGAATGTATAGGTTATGTTATTTGAGTAAATTACTCGAATGGGTCTTTGAATATGTAAAAAAAATGAAATTTTAATCCATGATTATATATTATGAAAAGCTTTTGAGTTTGCCCCTATGTTCAGTGCATGTTACATTTTGGTCACCATAATTTGTAAATTTCTTATTGTTTTAATTTTTGACCCGTAATAATGAATTATTTCATTCTGGTCCCGAACTTAAGGGTTTATTACATTGTCGGTGCTTGCAATATTTGATTATTGTATATTTGCTTTATTATTTAGTTAATTTGCAATAATACCTTAATATCTTGTTAGGTTTATAGTTTAATCCCTAAAGTTATCATATTTATTATTTTAATAATCATTTATATTTTTGTGAAATTCTTGCTAATTGTAATATTTTCAAATATTATTTTATACGATGAATTTATGAAAACGCCCCTTAACTGACAAGGAGCGTATTTCTAAGAATTGTTTGAATAAAATAATATCTTTTATTTTTAAAAGAATTTGTTTTTTTCTCTATTTTATATATTTGTTGTATTTAAAATTTAGGGTAATATTATTTTGTACAAGGAATCGATAAAAATGCCCCTTAACTAACTAGGAAGGTATTTTCTAGGATTGTTCATAAAAAAATCATATCCCTTTTAATTTTTCTAAAAGGATCACAATTTAAATATATTTTCAAAGTTTGTAATTCCTAATATTTAAACAACATATAATCGTTTAGGTACCAAAATTTGAGCATCGTGGGGGTGCTCACCCTTCCCCACAAGTAATAGACTCCCAAACTCTTAAAAATGAATCTTTGGTCAAAAACATATCATTTTTTGTCATTTAAGGTTTCCAACCTACCTAACTTAAATTATTTTCAACCCCAAACTATTTTTTTTAAGTCTAACAGGTCCCCACGGGAAACGTTATGACACCCTGGTGACTCCGCTGGGGAATTAGAGAGTCAAGCCATAAACGATTATAAGTTATTTTTATTTTTGGGAATTACAAAATTAAATTGTATTTAATTTATGATCCTTTTATTTATGTTGAGTTTCAACATATTATACATTATTTAATTTTTAACTAATTGATTTTAGTGATTTTCAGATTTTAACAGATTTTGGAAATTATGAGTGTCGTTTTTTTTATCGTATTTTAAGGGTTTGTGAGTTTCTCCTCACACACAACACGTGCATTTACATTCAATAAGCTCACTTACGAGCTTTGTCCCTTTTAAGTTGAGGCGAAAGCTTAGCCTACGTGAGATAATTTGTTTCTCCGTATGAGTTTTATCAAGTAACCTTTGGGGTTCATATACCTTATGTCTATGTGAGATAAATTATTTCTCCGCATGGACACAAGGGAATGTATCCTCTCGAATTGAACTCGATCCGTACGAGCATGTAATGGGATAGGATTAAGGGTTTGGCAGCCTAAGTAGGCACCAACAAGGATAATTCGAATACCCTTTTCCTTATAGTGTTGAAATCATACATATAGTGAGCCCTAGTAACCCACCCTAATAAAATTCATGTCCAAACTCTGTCCGTTGTTAGGTACCCGAATAAGTGTACACAAAGGAGAAACGACACTCCTCTGTTTCTTTACTCACATTATTTTATTTTCCAAATAAAGCATGTGAACACTAGA